CATAAATTATTATGCGATATTCATACCAGAACAAAAGAGGAACGTTGTATTGATTATGTAACTACAACTGTCATACAACCACGTTGTATTGATTATGTAATTCAGTAATTATCTTTCTATCGTTATAATTAAGCACCAAATAAGAAATGAATGTAGAATCGCTTTTTGGATCGATCAGAATATTTACTACAAATCCGTAAATGAACTTTATTTATACTGTTGTTTTGTTTTTGAATTTGTTTTTACATCAAATATCAATATTAGAGTAATACTTCTACATACTAGATTAAATCATGTAAAAAGAAAGACGCTTCTCAGCAACTTAATAAAATGGAAAGTAAAATAGAACGTATATCTTACATTAATTGATGCTATCATATCTCAGAAACAAACGTCGTCGACAAGATAAGGTTAATATCTGATATATACATATATGTCACGATAGAAGTGGACAATTCGCTATTTTTACATAAATATTAATTAATTGATCGATCGAATATTGATCAACAACTCTTGTCGCGACACATATACATATATATATTTATATATAAATATAGAATAGCTGATTGACGAATATACATAATGTTGGAAAAATTGATATCTTTATATTATATCACATATGACGACGTGGTATTATTTTGATATTTAACAAATAATATACGTATTCCATTTACAGACCGCCACGATAGCCTTTACACACGAAGTTTCATGTATCTTTCTAAAGCACATGACGCATCTCTTATGGGAAATTCTACATCTTATAGGAAGTTGTATAACTTTATATGTTGAGGCTGTCACGCCGGTCTGTGCGATCACGCAACTTTGGCTTGTTCCGACTTTCATGTAGCGGCAGCTTCAAAAATAAACAATATGTTATTGATATAAATGACGTGTTCGTAAAAATACTTTCCTGCGATTTAAACGTGTTTTATTCCATGGTTATTACTGATAGAAACTGTCTCGTCATCGTGTAGCAAAATGTTAATCTCAAGTTAACACGCATTGTCGCAATATTAATAACGCAAGTTCGTACTATTTACACGTTAAATGAAGAGGCTTCTTCTCACTGTTACAGATTATCATCGTCAATTATAATTAAATCCAAACCAAACATTTTGTCGTACAATCTGCTCGATACCCGCTAATTTATCGATTACACTTCATACAAGTGATATAAGGCTAACCATATAGAGATACGAACAAATCATCATAATCATCGTAAAATGAAAACATCTACTGTGAAGTTAGATTAACAAAGTATTAGTAAAGATGTTACTTGCAGACTACATATTTCAACGGAATACACAAGTGCTTAAAAACATGTAATCAATTGTCTAGCATAATAAGATGACATTCCCGTTGTTTTTTAATAACGTACGATAATGACTCAAGCATACGATGTTACGTTGAAAATAATTTTGAGCGCGATCGATTGCACGTCCGGATAAATTTCATCGATTCATTTTTCTTAATCTGTCCGCCGTGTTCTATACCCCCTCCTCAAACTGTCCTTTCGCCGTTAACAATAGTCAGCGCTTTTCGTCTTGTTACTTTCCTCCCTCATCCTCTTTATAGTACCACACCGGCCTGTCTTCTTGTGCTGCTCGAGCTGCCGCTTAGTCCAGAAACGCGCACCGCAGTCGGCGCATTTCAATTTAGAGAACGTACCGCCGTGATGTATCCGAGTGTGATACTCGATACCTATCCTATCGATGAACTCTTTGCCGCAGAAGTGACATTTGTTGAGGTCGTGGGCGCTCATGTGAGACCGGAAGGACTTCAGTTTAACCGATCTCAAGCATAAATTACAGAATATCATGTTGTCGACGCCGCTCTTGTGTATCGTCGTGTTGTGATACGAGAGGTTCCTCCTGTTCGCGTAGGCTTTCTTACATTTGTGGCAGGGATAGCCGACGCCCAAATGATAAGCCTCGTGCAGGTTCAGTATCCACAAAGGAATGTCCATGTGGCAGAATTTGCAGGACGTGTCGTGCTGCGTGTTGGTGTGCTTGTTCCGTAGTTTCCTGCTCGAGAACTTCTCGGGGCACAGGTAACAGTGATACGCACGGTCGTAGTGCTCGTTCTTCATGTGCTCGTCGAACTGGCTGCAGCTGTCCAGCGTCTCGTTGCAGCAGAAGCACAGCAAATTCAACGAATACTCGTCGAATTGCCTGCCCTCCTCGACGGTGCACTGATGCTTGTTATACGTGTTCATCGTGTTGAAATGCTTGTTGCAATACGCGCACGTCATAGGATCCAGATTCATAGCCATAGAAACCTCCGGATCGACGTAGTCCTCCTCCATCTTCAGGTGACTTGTACTAACCGACCGTAAATTTCTCTTCTTCTCCGGCCGCGTCGTCGCGTCCTCCTCTTGTTTTTGCAACGTTGAATTCTTCTTAAGGACCTTTTGGCATATTTCCTTCAAAGTGGGAACACTCTCCAATGTATTATCTTCCTTCCCATCTCCGCCATCGTCGTTTTGTCGCGTTCGCGAACCGCTCTTGTTGTCTCGCCGAACAGTCGTCTGCTTTCCTTTCCGTCTGGAAAGTAGCTGTATGTCATTCTCGATATCGATGATCACATCCTCGTCCGCATCCTTCAGCTTCAAAATGCTGTGGTTTCTACTGTAGTTCGACGTCTCGTTAATATTCGCCTGCCGTTGTTCAGCGTTCGCATCGCTGGCGTTTTCGACAGCATCCTGAGACATATTGGACGACAAAGCACCATCTGCTCCGTGGTCGGTCTGTTTGTCCTCCTCGCCATCTTTGCCGACTATCTCGTAGGAATTGTTCCGTTTCTTGATTGTTATTACGTTGATGCCAATTCCCGAGTCCCTGTCGCTGCTGTACTCGTCTCTTGTGCTGTGCTGTGCCGCTTTATCCTCCTGGTTATACAACTTACAATTGTCCCTATGAGCGCATAAAATATGAGAAGTTCGAAACGACCTTCCGCATATGCAAGTAGTGTCTTCTTTATCCGCATCGTGCGTGGCTGCTCGACCGTTCTTCGAGGTTCTCTGATTCTGACTCGACATCTTCGGATCGTCCGGTTCTCTATTTTCATTTAAGCCATCGTTCACGTCTTTCGCAGCAGTATCAGTTGGTTTTACGGAAGACATTATATCCTGATACCTCTTACTCAATGGAGAATTAAAATATTTGCACTCGAACTTGTGAATGTTGTCCTTGGTTTCCCCACGGGACGCGTGAATACGTTTATGCTTGGCAAGGCAATTGGGGCTCGAATATGCTCCTAGACAAATATCACACTTGTATTTATTCTTCGAGAGATATTTCACACGCACCTGCGCGAACTTGGGCGTGAACTTCGACGTACTCTGAACCTGCGCAAACTTAGACGCGTTCTGAAGAGAAACGAAACGTCCGTTGTTCAACTTGAATCTTTTCTTGGTGCTCACGTAGGACAAGGTGTATTTTCGCTTTTGCGGTACTTGAGACGTCACGTGAGATTTGTTCTCACTGTCTGTTGTATGCGATTTACCTTGCATACTCCTATTAACAGATAACGCTTCCGGAGGCTTACCGGACAATATGTCTTTTAACGTGGGTTTGCCGCTGCTAGATGATGATGATGATGATGATCCACTCTCGACCACTAGCGACGTTTCCAACTGCTTCAACATATTTGCCGAACATCCAATTTTATGGTAGTTGATCAAATGTTTCTTCAAACACTTTACTTTCTGTCGGCACAATGCACATGTACTGTATTGTCCCTTTTCAGAGGTGAATGCACTTACATTTTCGGACTGATCATTGCTGGAATTAAGACTGGATACGTTTTGTGATTTCAAATCATTGAAAATTGTCGTTCTCCCGTACAAAGGTCTGTTGTTATCAAGTTTTTCCGAATTACCATTGCCTTTATTGAATAAAGTAGTCCCGTTGTTTTTATTCAAGTCAAGCAGATCAGTTATTCTGGGCTTTCTGGTACGTCTGAATTTCACGGGAATAATAATTCCGTGTATTCTCAATGCGTGCTTCCTTAAGGATCTCTTTTCCAAATATTGCTTCCCGCATGTGACACAAGGATATAACCTCCTTGTCTTTTGGACTGAGAACTGAAAAGGTGTTTTACTATCATTTGTCGACTTATGTGCACTCTTGATAGACAGTGTCTGTTCGGTCTTGTTCGGAGACGATGCTACTTTCTCATCTTCTTCCACTTCTTCCCTTTCTCCTTCGTCTCCCTCTCCCTCATCACTCGTCGTTATCGGGCTTGTACGTTGCATAGTCTTTATCAGCTGTAATGTTTTCCAAATCTTATCGCATTTTTCTAGCAAGACAACTGGTTCCAGTACTGGAATGTCTAGTGTGCCATCAAGATTTGGTGAAAATCTGTCCTATAATAAAAAGGAAACACAATGCATTATCCTCATGTGTTTATCTTTGGTCTGTGCGTTTTGGCTTAACTGACTGCACTGGTTCAAGAAATTTATACACACATACACATTGAAATGTATGAAGCGTACATATGAGACACTCACACTTCAGTATGTGTACATTTCTTGAAGTAGTGCAGCCGAATCAGCTAAATAGAATAGATCACCTCTTAAACACGAAACAAATAAGATACTTAAAGAAAAAAGGGGGAAGTTACTTTACATGGTCGCACATACTAAGTACTAGGCACAAAGCAATACCGAGTAAAATATTACTTGGAAGAGAGCACAACCCGAATCCGCTCGCTCCAACCACAAGTTAATTAATAACGACTATAAATTAATTACCGTTCGTTTATTTCCTTCGCACGACAACAGGACAGGTTATACAATATTGCGCGTCACAACCGTGCAACAACATACAAATTGGTTACGTTCGCGGTGGAGCGACGCGATGCGGAAAAAGCGCGGCAATGTGCCGTCACCAGCTGAACACGACTTCCGAATCTCTCATTGGGCTTCCCTCTTAGGAACATTTTTCCCGCACAAACCCCCTCAGGAGGCATCGATCGCGCCGTCCCTGCTGCGTTTGGCCGAGCGGCACTATTAACGAACTCGCGTGAATCTCAACTTACGAACTCCGACAGGTCCTCGCTAGCCGAGCCAGGCTCCGTCTTGCATTCCTTGAACTCGAAGTCGAGCCGAGGGGGTGAGGACGATGACGCCGTGTAACCGATATCACCGTTCGTGGCTTCGCGCCGAGGCTCGGCCGTCGACGCGACCTCGTCGTTCGGCATTTTCGGGTGAAGTACAACCTGAGGAAAACAGCGTGGGTTTCAGTTCCTCGTTAGTACGTTGGCAACAACATGTCCACCAGAACGTGGCCATTCCCAAACTGCCAGGCGAGACCCAGCGCCTTCCCTGCCTTTTAGACCCGATACGTCCCTTTCTCTGCAGCTTACCACACAGTCCCATCGACGTGTGCTTCTCTCTCTCTCTCTCTCTTTCTCTATGTTTCGCTTCTTTCTCTCTCTCATTCTCTCTCTCTCTCTCTCTTCGCCTTCTCGCTCTCGCTCGATGCTCTCTCGTCTCTGTTTTTCTCTTTCCATCGCACAGCGGACCCTACTATCCGTCTACTCTCGCCCTCATTGGACAGACGCAGAAGCAGCGCTTGTGTGTCGTCTCTTCAGCCGACCACCCGTTGAACCAGTGCTGGATACGATAGGGTGTCGGGACACCATGCATTGAACGTTGACGTCTGTCGCTGGGTCACGCATAGAATTAAGCATATCGCGTGAGAAAGACGCGCACGAACCGCGTTGCTGAACCAGGAATAAGCGAATCCTCTGAAGAACCGGACTCTTCGATGGATTGACGTTTTCTCATTCAGTGTTCTCTGATGGAAAAAATCAATTGGATTAACGCTGTAGCCCGCGATCTTCGCAACAGATTTGCACGATTGGACGGGCGATCGGTTGAGAGATCGGCCGATCACACGCGCAATACGACTGTCGCTAATCGGTCCGGGGGAGGTCCTGGGTCTGCGGCAAAAAGTAACAGTGGATTAAGACTGTGTCGCAGGGCTATACCGGGCTCGGACGGAACAGGAAGATCCTCTTGAAAACATTCCACGGGGAATGTAAAACGTTTTTGCTAGTCACACTTCGCACACCTCGAGAGAGCCAAGTCAAATCGCGTCGGGAGGACGCGTCAACGGGATTACATTGCGGGCTGTGTGGGTGTAACGGCATCTCCTCTATGCAAACTACACCGGTGATAACGTCGGACCGGTGATAACGTTCGTTCAGCGCTACATCAACGTTTTGTGGCACAGCTTTAATAGCTCGAAATGAATTGGTTTCTGCATAACAGTTCCCGCCGAACCCGTTTCTTTTTCTACGAACGGGAAATCTCGACGCTCGCAAAAATACCGTATATTACTCTCGAACGCTAAACGGTTAACTTGATCGAGCCATCGGGTCTCATTTGCTCTGTTTTTTTTTTTGTTTTTTCTATTGGAGTCGTACGATCGTTCGATCTTGTAGGTCCCGAGTCTTCTCATCAGTTGGCGCGCTACAGTTATACGTCGTCTACGAACATCGATCTGAGGGGAAGACACTTCGCACACAGAGACGCGCTTGACATGGGTAGTGGAGTAAGACTCAGCAGAAACATGATCCAATTTTACAAGCTTCTTCTTTCATACGCTCCGGCCGTTGGGTTTATTTCGGTATCTTCATACAGTTGCCAAAGCCAACCGGAGGCGGCCCCAACTGACTTAAATTCGTTCATTAAAGGAATGCTCTAATTAGCCCGCTGGATTAATAGTTGCTCAAGTAACACCGACCGTAAAACGACCCATCTCATCGAACTTATTCGAGTACCCAGTACGAAGGAGTTATCTTAAAGAACTCTTAAGGATACCTTAAAGTTGTCTTATATTGTTGATTTTGGACATTCTACTAACTGAACGCAACACTTATTCATACGTATTTCACGATAACTTCATGATAGCTTGCGATAAAATTGCCGAAGGAAACCCAAATCGTATTATCAGAGTGACATATATTTCGCTCGATCCGGCCAACTTAGTAATCGAATATGTACGTGCAAAATAAGTCTATTTCGGGAAAATGCTGTCATGCGGATTCGATAAAAATATTCGTGGAACGAGAAGATTGTATTGATCGGCTTGAGAACATCTTTCCCTCGGCGTATTTGTGCTGAACAAGTTTTACAATGTTCTCGGCTCCTCTTCGCTGTAACAACGTTGTACTTTCCCCGACATGGTGGTAGAAAAACGGCCTCGGTCGGAAAATTTCGCCGGTATCGCGGGGGTACTGAGCGAAGGGCCTTCGAGAATATCATTCCGCTACTGGCGTGCTGAACCACGTGACGGAACAAAGCAGACTCGACAATAATGGACGAGTCCATTTTCGGAGTCTCGAAAATTTCCTGAAGGAATCCGCCTATCTACTCTTCCACCCATGTAACTCTGCCCACATGTCGCGTATAAATTGCCCCCCCCCCCCCC